TTCAGGAGCTCCAGATCCAGAGACATCCATAATGGCCTACATTAACGCTTCAGTTCTAACTAATCATCCCAACACATGGTTAAATTGGGGTCAGCATGGGATTAACAGGTTTGATATCCCTGGAATTTCACTTCGTGTTCATATTGCGTCTTTATACTGTATCACCCATTTGCACTGTAAATGTACCTGCAGGATGAAACTCATCACACAGTCTCTCATATCTATATAATGCTGATCAACAGCTTTCCAACAACCTCTTCAGCTCAGCCGGTGTCTCCCAGTGACCTTGTCCCTCTCCCCCCATGGTGGACAAGCCACCGTAGACACTCAGTGTGTTGCATTAACACACAGCTTAGGCAGCATAAATACGGCTATTGCTTTTTTATCCCTTTAAATTCCCTGGAATGCTACACGACACTATCAGTTTGACTTGTAACACTTGCTCCCTATTTGTCTTTGAACACTTGCTGTCTATTGACTTGCAGCATTTGCTTTCTTTTTAATTATTTTATACGTCTTTAAAAACCATCTACGTGTCAGCGTTTACTGTAATACATTGAATCACTCCAGCAAATTCTGCATATGAACACCTACTTACTTACTTATCAGAATGCATGAACAGTGTGAGCATACAGGGCCTTAATTATTTAAAAAAAAACCCTTTTGCCCTCTATGTTAGGGATGCTCAATGTGACATCTCAGCGCTGACATCGTGATGTGTGCATGTGCAAGATGTGAACTCAGGAAAATTAACTCAAACACATCATGCTGCAATTTTTAGTAGCTTGATACAAAAATAAAACTTTGTACTAATCTACAGGAGAAGTCTGTGTGATATCTTGAATACAGTGAGTTTGTTGACATGCGAGGTGGCCGTCTGAACCGAGACCACACAAACGAGTGCAAAGCCAGATTTGAATCCAAGGCCGGTGTCACACCAATTAAATAAGGTTCCAAATGGCTTTTTTGTTGTTTGTTTTTTTTAGCTTTTTAAATATGCTTTTTTTATGCAGATGCACTCTTCTACAAAACCACCCCAACCATTGTAAAATTACTAATTCTAACCAAATATTCAAGCCATCAAGTGAACATTCCTGCATTTTTTCACGTCACTAGTTGTGTTTTTTTCAATACTCTGCAGCCCTGCCCTGCATATACAGACAGTAGAAATATATGTAGATCTTTCCTAGTCGGCAAATGATTGCATTTTAATGAAACATCTAAAAATCTTCAAGACTATCTGGTGAATTCAAGTTGGAATCTTCATTGTCATTATGCAATTCGTTTTCACCAGTCACATAACAAAATGTTGTTAGTAATACTGGCTTAAAAGTCGAAATATTTACAATTAGGCTGACAATTATATTTCATATTTTGCAAAGACACATAACTGTATGTATTAAGTAAGCAGTGCATTAATTGAAGTAAGATGGTGTGATTTGAAAGGAGTAGATTTTAAAATAATCGACATTTGTGACAATAAAGACAGAGGACAGGTTCAAAGTGCAAAGTGTTGTCTGAAGCAGATTTCTCACCGTTATCGTCCTTGTCAGCTTTGAGTCCGGCGTAGATTTCTCTGAGATTCTCCGGCGTGAGCCAGATGCCGTCCCTCACTCGAGAGTGAGTCAGTATCTGGGGGAGGCACAGTAGTACACGTGGAGATGAGTTAACCACCTCTGGAGATGGAAAAAAAAAAGCTGCTTCATGTCACACGCAAGGCTCACAATCCACAAACTGACATACACCTCATGAAGCTGCAACTGTCCATCCTGGTTGATGTCCAGCAGGTTAAAGATCTCCTCTGGGCTGAGGTTGAGCTCCTTGGCCAGCTCCTCCTGACCGTCTTGGACCATCAGCTGGCTCTCCATCAGACCCTTCAGCTGAGCCAGCTGCATCACCACGCGGCACTCGTCCTTTGACAGAAACCCGGGGATCTCTGCAGAAATACACGTAGAAAAAAAATGGAGATAAAGGTGCAGAAGAAACTCATCAGGAGTTTCCCACTTTCCTGAGTTTCCAGAAAAAAAATCCTACAAATGACTCTAGATTTATGCAGAATATAACTGAAGTGCAATTAGTTCATCGACATAATTAATCAGCAACAGTTTTCATTTTTCAGGCCAGTGTTTGCTGTTTGCAGCTTTTCTCCACTGGGCAGGATTTGCTGCTATAATTTGCCTCTTCTGATTGCATATAAGATCCTTTGGTTACTGCCTTGGTTGCATTTCTGCTGTTTACTGGGGTTTAGAAGAGAAAACATACATGTGACATCCTGATGCCTTGTTTAACCGTTATCATTACCGACACTAATGCAAAACACAAAGTGAACAGAAAGCAGCTGATAAATACATATAAATGTGTGTAGATCATGTTTCCTGCATTGTGCTCTTCAGGTACAGATGCATTCTGCCCTTTACCAGGTCAGCTATAAGCCCTTAATTGGATCAGATGCTCAAAGCTGGGGGAGCAGTAGCCTCAGGACTTATTGGCCTATATTATGTAGCCCACATTGATCTTGGCACACACACATGTCTGCATTTGGCTGTGTTTGGAGGGGGGATGAGATTATGAGCTCTTGTTTGTTTCCCTCCCTGAACAGGAAACCTGTTTGGCCCTTTGAGGATCTTGTGCTGCAGATTTGTTTTGCCACATGGGTGCTGTGCCTCTCACCAAACAGCAGAGGTTTCAGGCTCAGGGTCCGCATCTCGTGCACTTTGCCCGGCACCAGTGACACCTTCTGGACGTGTCCCACCTGGAGAGATGAATCAGAGGTGATCCGTGGTGCTGCGTGTCACTGGCACTGACGCATCATCACATTACTCACCCTGATCCCCTCGATCCTCGTCAGGGAAACGTCGCGCAGAAACTCTGCTTTCGATGGCGGACGTCGCGACTCGGGGCGCTGGTGGCCGCCGCCGCCGCCGCCGCCGCCGCTCGGAGCATCACGACTCCGGCTCGCATCCTCCTGGCCGCTGCTGTAGTGCACGTAGAAGAGCAGCGCGATCACGTTAATGATGTAGACGTGAAAAAACACCATCACCACCACGAAGTAGGAGCGGGAGCACACGCTGCTCTTATGGCAGGAGAGGCGCTCGCAGGGCGGCCGGAGCGGCAAGGTCGCGCTCCCGGACAGAGTCGTGTCCTCCGCGTCGGGGGTTTCCTGGTTGTCAGTCATTTTGCTGATCGGCGGACAGTTGGTGGTTCCTCAGCAGCAAAGTCCATCCAGCGACCAGATTAAAAAAAACAACACAAAAACGATGGTCGGTTGCTCTGAAGTGGCAGAGTGACAGATATCCAGTTTAATTAAAAGAAGAAAATCCTTAAAAAGCGCGCGGGTCAGTTTTTCTGGTTCATCTGAAGTCGTTGCGCATTTGGGGGAAAAATACGTTTGATGGTTCGGGGTGAAACTGCAGCTTCCTGTTTAAGGATGAGAGGTCAGCTATCAGTGGAATTCTGAGATTATCTGTCCCCCCACAGACAGCAGGCTGCAGCCTCGGACAGCCTTGTTTACACTGCAGCAGTCAGCGGCGCAGCGCACTGCGCATCCCGAACCAAGGCGCAACTCAGCCCAAAAACCCGCTGCGCAAACCTGGCCCAGCATCAGCAACAACTGCAACGATCAGGATTTATAAATATTTCGAACATAAATAAACAGACTGCGGCTCATCCTACTGTTTACACGGCGCATCCCGAGCTGCTCCGCTGACAGCAGCAGTCCGTCCGCTGAGCAATGCTGACCTCTGGCGACCCAAACCGACACCACAGCCAGGGCAGTGCTGCTCACCAAGTCACTGACAGTCAGCTGGGTCAGGGAAAACTCAACACACAAGCAAAAACAAATCTATAAAATAATTTACCCAAGTTAAACTCTCATATATATATTTGGTGATCTCTGCTCCACCATGTTTTCAGGCTACAGTGAACATAAAAAGCATCACCTACTTTGGATTTTTCACCCTTTTATTGCTTTTCAACATTTAATCATTGTCCATTTATTTTCACTTTTGATAAGGTTTTATTAAAAACAACAACAAAAACCTACTTTCATGCGAGTAATGTTTATCAGTCCTGGTGCAGCCAGTCTGTGCTTTAAGTCACATGTAGTGACCTGGAGACCTCCATCTGCAGTGAATATGTCTCTGCTGTATGTAGACACCTGATGGCCATAGGGGGAGTCATAAGTGCCCTGGTGGCCTCTCTCACTAGTCTCTTTCTTGCACTCAGTCCCCCGTTTTTTGTTTTTTTTTAAGACCCCAGATTTATGCACGTGCATAGTCCTGCCATTTCTTAATGATGGGTTTAACTGTACTCCAAGAATATGTATTGACTTGGAAGCTTCCTGGTATCCATCCCCTGACTTTTCAGAAGTCTTTTCACAGGCTAGCTTGAGGTGTTTTGTCCTCATTGTGTAGTTATAGTCCAAGGATATTCCAGATGCACGTTTCTTTACACTACAATCACTAGACACACATTCTCTGCACTTGGATGATTCATATTTCACCAACTTTGTGACTTCCAGCACCAATTAGCTGCCCCTGGGTTGAATTAGGGGAGTCATTTTAAAGTGAATATTTATGCAGTCACTTTCTATCTTTATTTAAATGGCATTACTTGGTAGAAATCTGGTTTCACTTTGACATGAAAGAGGATAAAAAATATTTGTTGGCCAACAAATATGCCAAAATAAATTCAATATGCAGGCCGTTTGAGAAACATACATATCATAAAAGTACTAACCTGATCTAGAAGTTATTTGCACACATTTGAGCAAAAGTATTACATATTTTTTTATTAACAAAAAAAAAGACAAATTAAATCACAAGTTCTTGGAAAAATTAAACTTAAACAACTGAATTCCAACCACTATGGTCCATTTTTCACATCTGGTATTTTCATTGTTTGCCTGACTGGTAACAGGTATTTAGCTGCCACGATGTGAAAGACTCCTCTTAAGGCAGGTAGTTTTTCAAGCTGTAAGCACAGAACCCTGGATAGAAATATTAGCAAGAAACTGAGACAATTATGTAAGTTCACCGATAGAAGCAGTTGTGCATCACTGGGGGAATCTAAACATATTCTTGGGTCAAAATCAAAAGGAAAATAATTTTATTTTTAAAATCTAAGTGCTGAATATTATGTTATTTTTGCTATTACAATTAAACCTGGACTACCACCATAGTCACACACACCCCACACATAGCTGAGAGAAGACAGACGTGGTTCAAATCAGAAAAAAAATTACTTTTATTGGATAATTGTTAGAAAGATTGATTGAATGCTGGATTTCCAGAGTACCTGCAGAAAGATTAACCTGAAACAAATACAGAATAAACTGAAACCAATGAAAATGCACAGAACCCAGCAGGGTGGAGGTGGACTTATGTTCCAGTAGTGCTACACATAAGCCATACATTGGTGTAGCTTTCCTGGTTATGCAGACTCGAGGAGAATCAGCAGCATCCACATTACACAAGCAAACAAACTTGGCGTCAAACCAACCAGACACCAGTATGAGGCAAACAGGTGACTGTCAGATACAACTTCATCATCATGTGCATGTGAACGAACTCTTTACAACAGCCAAAAATCTACAAACAATCCTGATTCCATCACCTACCTCATAGTGACAGAGGAAGCCATGTGGCAACCATGGAGCAGAGACAACAGGCAGCCATGTTGCCACAGGTACCTTAAATACCCTCAATCATTGGCTGGGCTGTGGGAGGAGTNCTTAAATACCCTCAATCATTGGCTGGGCTGTGGGAGGAGTTGACCTAATTCTCCAGTGGTGTGTTCAATGGCTGCCATATGTGGATAAGAGAAGTGTTTTTCCTTTAAAGTCCTTTGATTGCGGTAAAGTTAATACACATTGTGTCAGTAAAATTGAACTAACTTGGACCTAGAAGATTAGCTTTAGATCTGATTAATTTTTTATGGTGTTGTCTGTATAACATTATGACATGTACCCTACATTTGGGGTTTTTCCTGCATAGATGAGTTTTTGGCACCCCTGAAGGAGATTTTAGCACCAAAGGAAAATCACTAATGCTCAAACGATGAGAATTAAGAAAAAAGCAGTAGCAATTCAATGATTTGCCAATTAGCGGATTATTTAATCAACATAACAGACATTTTTATCTATCAAATGGCCAGAAAGAACACCCAAAAGCTAAAAAAACAGCCCAGCTATATTTGAGTTTGTATATAAATCAGAGCCCCTGAAGGCTTGGAAGATTAAATCAGTCATTTCAGTCACACAGAAAGAAAGGCACGGACACAAAATATGCAGCAACGTATCTACTTTTTATTGACTTTAGGTTACAGCACGTTTAACATGCTGAAGTGAAGCAGCAACAGGATGTTCATATTGTATGACTTCTTGTTACCGTATCACTGTGACGTCTTCATTACTCCTCGTCCTTCGTCTGAAACGGTAGAACAATGGTGTGTAAACGATTTGGCCAGATAATCAGGATTTAATAACATTCCTACAAATCTGACTCGTTACCTTGACAATTTCCCGACTCTTTGCCCTCAGCTTGTTGACCTGGGACTCGGCGATGTCGGCGCGCTCCTGAGCCTCCTCCATTTCATGCTGCACCTTCCTGTACCTGGACAGGTGAGTGTTGGCCTGCTCCTCCTGTGTGATAAGCCACAGTGGAGTCAAGACCTGCAGACTGAATGGCTTTCTCAAAATTCATTATGAGAATTAGATGTACTCACAGCCTCCTCTGCCTGTCGCTTGTAGGATTTCACTTTGAGCTGCAGTTTGTCCACCAGATCCTGGAGTCTCGTAATGTTCTTCTTGTCCTCCTCAGTCTGTTGGAAATCAGGAATCACAGAACATTGTAGTGCAAACTTGCTTCAGTGTGGTGTTTCCATGAATGCAGACTATTGTAGTGGTGTTTGTGTAGGTAGCAGTTGACCTGATAAGTGAGCTCCTTCACTCTTCTCTCATATTTTCGCACTCCCTTGATGGCCTCAGCGCCTCGTCTCTGTTCTGCATCAACTTCAGCCTCCAGTTCACGAACCTTGACGGAAGAAA